TATTTTTGTGTGAGTGTACCGTCAAATCAGATCTGACTGGTACAGGAGGAGATTGTCCCTCCTTCCCCGGCAGAGCATCTGGTGGATTCGAACCGGATGGTCTCATTCTTAAAGTGCATATGTCACAAGTTTTTTCACCTCTTTAATCCTTAAGGTAGGATCAAGTATCTACAAAGAAACTACCAAAAATAACTGATTGGGGAAAGTATTTCAGACCCTAAATATAACTGAAAGCCAGAAACAACAAATAGAGAGGATCGGGTAGGTTATTTGTGAGAACACGTTTTTCAAAGTAGAGAAAGAATCACTATGGTTTTGGCAGAATTATATGCTGGCATGGCCCCTTAAGGTAGAGAGCATTACCACTGTGATTCTACTTCATAGATAAGGAAATTAAGCCTCAAAGACATGGTGACTTTGCTCAAGGTCACACACAACTGATACAACGAGTACTCATCCATTCAAGTCCTTTCATTGCAAATCCATTAATATTCCAGTACACTAAGACTCCATTCTTTAAAATCAGCATAATATGCATTTCTCCTTATATTTTGTTTGTTATTTTTCTATCCCCAAGCCTCATTTCTTTCTTAGCTTCACACTGAAACAATTTTAAATGTTTCTAATTTTCTTACCAAACTATCACACAAACCTATTATTTGCAAGCTTTACTGAGAGGGAAGGGGGAGGGAGAAGCTGTGTTGTTATACAGCTGTATAGAGAAGAGCATCATTACTGCATTCCGCCATGTCCATGGCAACATATAATCCAGCAAAAACATAGTGATTCTTTCTCTACTTTGAAAAACATGTTCTCACAAATAACCTACCCAGTCCTCTCTATTATTGTTTCTGGCTTTCAGTTATATTTAGGGTCTGAAATACTTTTCCAATCAGTTATTAATGGCAGAAGAGGGACTCTCCCTGCCAACTCTTTTCATATAATACTGTATTCTAAATCCCTACCCTGATATTGTTATTTTAAGATTAAGTGGGTTGAGCTCACTAATGTACATTATGGCATCATGTAAAATAGAGTTCCAGTCTCTCTCCTAGTTTGAGATTAAATAATAAATGATATAAAGTTTCATATGAGTCTCCTATAACTTTTTTTTATCAAAAGTAAATGGAAAAGCCCAATAAGTAAATCTGCTTCCAGACAAGCAAAATATGTTTATATCTGTTTTGTTTAAAACATCACCAGTATAGAGCAATTTCTCATTGAGGTGCCAAGGAAGTCTTTAAACTCATTTGTCTTTGTTTTCAATCCACCTGTTCATTTCCATTTCATGTCTAAAAAGATTGACAGAACCTTTTTTGTCTACAAACCTTAATGTCCACAATTTTACATTCTAACAACTGTTTAATATCTCAGAATTAGACATGATACCATTTAGTTCAGGAGCACACAACTGTCAACTCTAACAATTCACATCAAACTACACCTTCCTACTTTGCAGTTGCCTCCCTCATCTAGATGACATTAATTTGTGATATTATTTTATGACTCAACCCACATATCAAAGAGAACAGATATATGTTGGGGAAACATTACTAGTAAAAGTAAAAGAAAAAGCCCACACCTCTACAAATGAGAGAAGTATTTTCTTAGTTAAATAAAGATATTCCTTGACAAAAGATTAATATGAATCCTTTTGCATCCACTTGACATAGAGTAGCTTTGCCAGAAGGTTGCTGACAGCAGAGCTGGGATCTCAGAGCAGCTGTGTAGGATGATTTTGCCATTGTTAAGAAAAGAAATCTTTTCAATCATTATTTTACTTACCTTACTTTCCTTTTCATTTCTTCTTTTTATACTTCCTTAATCCCTTTTCTTATTAGTTAGTTTAAAAAATAAAATACGAAACTATGAAAATCAGGGTATGTATTACAGGTATTTAAATTAAAATCTCATAAGGATTGTTCTCACTCAAACCCTTATCTCTCTGAAGGAAGGGTGCATGGGCATTCATGGTAATGACACCTACAAGGTTAAAAAGGTTTGTTTGAGTTTAGGAGCTTCTTGGCACATGCCCCAGAAATTCTTCTTCTCCTGGGTAATTTGCCCATGAAAACAGAAAATACACAGTTACACACAAAAAAACAAATAAAAATAATCCTTTCAGATGGTTAACAGGGATAAGGAGGGAGGCAAAGGAATAGAAAAATAAAAATTGGTAAATTGAGTAAAGAGAAAGGTAATAAAATAAAAATAGGTTTATTGTTGTTGTAGGAGTTGATTGTTGTTGTTGTTAAGTGCCGTCGAGTCGCAGGCAACTCATAGCGACCCTATCAAGGAGAGTCCTCGACTCTTGGGTGCCTTTCATCCTCTCTCCAGGTTCATAGGGTTTCCAGAGGCAAGCTATGATGGAAGTGAATGCCACTCCTCCTTCCAAGCTTGTTTTAATCAGGGAGCTCCACCTCACTCTCTGTCCGCATTGGGTAACCAGCAATTAACGCATTTGACACATCCATGTCACAGTGTTCAGCCTCACAGCAACCACAAGTGACAGCTGTACGGCAACTTGTACACCAGAGCTATACAACCTAGAGGAATGTCTGAACAAAAAACAATGAAAGACAGGCTCGAGGGCCGCCGATTAAAAGCCACCCACCTTTGGCTTGGTAGCATCACCTTCTGTCCACTGGGCCAGCTGATCTCTCTCTATGTTGATGTTATTGTTGTTAAGTGCCATCGAGTCACAGGCAACTCATAGCGATCCTATGAACAAGAGTCCTCAACACTAGGAGTTGATTAGACATTATAAATAATTACATTAATAAGTTGTCATTAATGTTATAAAACAAAATATGTATGAATGAGTAAATGTAAAATCAATATGATTTCTAAACTTTCACTCAAATTTAAAAATGTTGTTATATTTATGTACCAGCAAGCAAGAACTGATTCATGGCTGACCCTTCCTACTTCCAGAAGCAGTAAACCTCAGGGAAGGAGATTGCCTGTTTTTCTCCCATGGAGCAGCTCGTGGAATTGCAGCACAGCTCCTTACTACTCCACCACCAGAACTCCCTAAGTAGTTTGTTTATAGGGCTGCTATGAGTTGTTTCTCTGCTCTTCATAGGGTTTACCAGAAGAATATCTGTTTACGTTTTATTGACTTTAAAAAGGCATTTGATGGGAGCTCTGGTGGCCTAGTGGTAAGGAGCCGCAACTACAATCCCAGAGGCGCACGGTTCGAATCCACCAGATGCTCTGCCGGGGAAGGAGGGACAATCTCCTCCTGTACCAGTCAGATCTGATTTGACGGTACACTCACACAAAAATAATAAAATAAAAATTTTAAAAAAAGGCATTTGACTGTGTGGAGCATAACAAGTTATGGATAAAATCAATAAGAATGGGAATCCCAGAGCACTTAATTGTGCTCATGTGAAATCTCTACCTAGACCAAGAGGCTGCTGTGCAAGCAGAGCAAGGGAACATTGCATAGTTTAAAATTTAAGAAGGGAGTGTGTCTGTTGAGCAAATTATTCAAAAGCTGGACTCTGGAGAAGAAAGTGGCTTCAGGATCAGAGAAAGACTCATCAATAGCCTGTATTAT